GTTCTGAAATATTACTATGCTCCTTTCTTATAGCATTGGTTTTGCTACTGTAAGCTTTTAGTTACTGTTTTGCTCAATTTAGCTTTTAAGTCATTTTGCTACATTCAAATTTTAGCCTTTTTTTAACTAATTGTTTCTTTCAGCTACAGATTTGCTGCTAATAACTTTGTAGCTTAGATTATTTTAGCTTTTACCTAGAGATGTACTTAATTTTGTTTTTTGCTAATTTTATCTTTCAGCTRCAGCTTTGTTGCACGTAACTTTCATCTATAGCTGTTTTAATTTTAGCTGTTAGCTACAGTTTTGCTAATTTACCTTTTAGTCACTGTTTTGCTGATTTTAGCTTTGATAGTTTTAACTTTAACAGCTCAGTTTCTCCTGCTGTAACAAACGTCAGCTTTTTGCAGCTTTCTCAATTCACACTGCATTTTCGTTTTGATGCTGATTTTAAGAGTTGCTGCCTTCCTTTCTTGTCTCCACTGGTTTGTAAGAGCCTTTTTGATTAGCCTGATCCTTATTTCTTCTCTCAGGGTGGACATTCACCGGAAGGAAAATGCAGGGGCAGCAGAAAAACCCATCACCATCCACTCAAACCCCGAGGGCTGCTCCTCCGCCTGTCGTATGATCCTGGACATCATGAGGAAGGAGGCCAACGAGACCAAGATGTGAGCTCGCACTTTTGCACACACAAACCCCAGAACTGCATATAAATGTGCTGATCTGAAGCCTGAACAATCCACAGATTGAGATTAGCTATAATGTTTGCAGGACTATAATCTTAACCCTTCACCTGCCTGCACTCAGTTTTTTTTTTTGTTTGTTTGTTTTTTTTAATCTCACCGTGCACACTTCTCTGGCCTGGATCACTGACACACTTAACACATGGAGCACACGGGTCGACACGTGATCACAGCTTAGCATCTAGCAGACCAGGACAGTAAATCTAATTGAGTTCGACACTTTTAACAAGACGCTGCACCTTTTGCAACTCTTTAAACCCCTGTTTGCTTCAAACAGCAACTTTTAATCTGCTTTTTTAACGCATTAACTGGGTGAACATTTCTTTTATCTTACATCCTGGATTATTTTATTCAAGAGAAAATTTGGGCATTTATATGCAGAAATGTAGCTCTGCCTTTCAAATGACCTGTATGACACCAGAGTGTTTTTGACCATGCTTTGTATTATGCGTCGGCGTGTGTATTCACATGCATGTTGTTCAACTGGAATATTTTTAGAAGTGTAAACGTGCCATAAACATGAGCAGCCTTGAAAATTGTGTCTTTTGTGGGACATATTTTTCAACTTTGTAAATTAAGTATAATTATTTTTCTTACCCATTTTTTACACCTATTTTTATCTTTCTTAAAATCAGAATTGTCATTCAAAAACAACATTTTAAGAGCAGTAAGTCCACATTTGGACAGCGCCAGGGTTTTCTTTTCCCTTCATTTCTTGTCTAAACACTGAGTTAAGCTGAACAACTGCTGGGTGAACATAAATATAGATATGAGTGTGGCTTCAATCTACTAATTTATCTCCTTCAGAGGAAGTGAAAAATAAAAAAAAAGAATAATCTTAAAGTTTAATGCAAATCAATCTTGTTTCTGTCAGAATTGAACAGAACTGTTTGCCCTATAAATCACAAAACTCCTTCAGCCTTTCTAATCCACCCCAATCAGTCAAGGTCGTAATCCTTCTCTCAAAAGTCACAATAGCGTCCGCACCTCGGCTCTGTGTCAACAAAATAACTCCCCTGTGCCTCGCCTGAGTGCCACACCTGCAGAAATGCAAACGGTTGTCCCCGCCACGCCCCTGTGATTTCACCGAGTCGGAAAAAAAAATAAATAAATAAATAAATAAATAAATAACCCACCGAAACCAAAAACCGCCAAATGTGGCCTCTGAACTTACACAGCTGTCGTCACCCCCACAACAGTTCACCCCAAACTAACTTCACCCCGCGGGACGGAGCTACACGTACAGATTAAAGCACACAGACACACGTGTCCGGATCCAGGCTCAAAAAGAACCCCCTCCCCCCTCAGCATCTGGTTACCCTCCACCACACCCCACCATAACTCTGCACTCACACCCTGCAATTGCACACAAAAATATAGATGAGGCTGAAACGACAGTTTTTTTGTGTTCAGAAACATTTAGCTGGCAGACTACGTGCTTCTTTTTCATTTAGGTCCACAAAATAAACTTATTTGTTCAAGTGTTTTATTAATATTTTATTCACAAACCCACACAGAATCTTTGTTAGACTCATTTTTTAGGATGAAATCTTTCCTCAAATTGAAAACTTGAACATTAAAATCCTATTCCTGTGTTTTCCTGCCCATCATCAGCACTTCATGACATTTGAAGGTTAATTCAAAGTCATGGAAAATTATCTTAATTGAACTCAACAGAAAATGTGACTCCCTTTCTGTCCAAATTACAAGGCCTACAATTTCTGTTTTTCTTTGGAATATTTTTGAAATTTACCAGCAAGATCCGAATGTCAGTACAGGCACGTAACCATGATTCAGTACTTTTATCTGCAAGGCCTTCTTTGTTTTTTCCATCAAACCTGTTGTCTGTTGTATTACAAATGTTTTAGATATTCCAACTAAAAAGATAGAGGTTTTATTTGGGGAAAAAAGATGCAAATCTGCTAAAAAAAAAAAAAATCTGTGTTTCAGCTTCTGAGCAGAAACCCTTTCTGAGCTGTTGTATCTATCGCTGTCTTGTTTCCTGTAAACAGGAGTCAATGAGGGATTGTATGAACATCAAATCGAATTAAAAACCCTTCCAATTCCGGGAAAAGTACCTTCAAACTCCTACCCTCAGGGAGTTGGGAAGTAATTTTGAGTAATATGAACTAAATGGTGATTATGGTCTCGTCTGTAGAGTGTCACTCTTTAACTTGTTCTCACCGAACATCAGAATCAAACAAATAGCAAATATCTCCAAACTCCTGGAGCTCTTAAATTTAGTTGTCAGTGAAAACACGCCAAACTGAGCTTAAAGAACAAAATGTGTGAAAAAAAGAGGCCTGTTTTTTTAATTTTATTTTACTGAACTGATTCAAATGAGTTGTTCACTTTGGGTCTTTTATGGTTTGCCTAATTCTTTTTGTTGTTTCTGAAGGACGGAGGACATCCCTCTGAAAATCCTCGCCCACAACAGCCTCGTGGGTCGGCTGATCGGGAAGGAGGGCCGCAACCTGAAGAAGATCGAAGAGGAGACAGGGACCAAGATAACCATCTCCTCGTGAGTCGGCGGCCACGCCCTCCTTCCCGCTCATTAATCTCTCAAGTTTTGCTTAACTGAACTCTTAGAGAGCAAACGTGAGGAGTTGATTGCAGCTCCTTCTCTCCAGGACACGATATCAGAGGGGATGTGATTACACCTCATTTAGCAGGCTGCGCTCACGAAACCTTCGTTGGTTTAGAGCTAATGAATTGTTCGGAGGACGTAATGATCCCAGAGAAATAGACGCAGTTTCTCAGAGAAAAGCAAACAGATCATCCAAAAATAATTTCTGTGGATTTTTTTTTTGATCGTCTTCCATGTCTGATAAAACAGGAAAGTTAAATTTCTGCAGACAAAGCTGAAGAGATGATATTAGACCTTTCAGAGTTGTATTCTGTCAGATGGGTGGGAATAAAAGGATCTAAAGTTGCTAAATGTGTAAAAAAGTTTCAGTGCTAAATAATAGCGCCACCCTTAAAACTTTTGTTTTTGTGATTATGCATATTTTATTAAAATCAGAACCTGTTTAAAAGAAGAAACTGGGCCTTTTGTTGGGGAGGAAATGGTCATTTTTTTTCATTTATAGAGTAGATGTTGTAAATGTCTCACTGCGGTGCTTTTTGCTCGGATGGATGAACCCATTTCTCCTGTGTGCTCGTGTCACCGTGCTGCTGTTCCCATCCTGACCTTGGCACACTTGTTGTTTTAAGGCTCACTTCGCACAGCGAGTTTTTTTTTCTCGCCCGTCATGCAGAGCACTCAGCCTGCGAGGAGAGTTAGAAAATATCTGCACCGTRTGTCTCTGGAGGGGCTTTGAGGGGAGAAAAAAAAATCCTCCTTTTTTTTTCCAACAGGGTAATCTTAGTTATGGCTGGTGGAGTACAAAGTGTGTACGTGTGAATTTCCAACTTGTAAAGAAGATTCATTCAAACCTCCAAGTCAAAATGGTTCCAGGAAGGGTCATTTATGATTTGATGTATTCAAATAACCATTTAATGGACAGAGCTGAGCGATGCATGATCAGAAACATAGTTATTATTGTTGTGGTCTCTTTTTGCATATATTCTGTTACTAAATTGTCTTTGAAATTTAAGTATAGATTTGAATTAAACCTTTATGAAATCACCATTAAAGGAGACCAATTATGGGGCCTAGAAATGTTTATGGTATGTCTGTGGGCTATCCAGACCATGTTCATTCAATTTAATGCACAAAATAATTCTCAGATAATTAAAATTTCCCATTTTCTAGTTCTGCCTRCTCTGACTTCAGTTCAGAAGAGCTGTTTATGTTAATGAGCTCTGTTGGTAACGCCCTCCAAAAATCTGTTGACATTAACTCCGCCCTCCAAAGCCAGCGTTTACGTTAGCATGGCTAATAATAGCAGAAGCTCCGTTGTACAACCACATGAGACTCAGAGGCAGAGTCGTGGTCGCAGCTTCTTTCTTTTTTTTTTCTCCCCCTCCTCTGCTCTGCGCTCACTCTGCATGCTGTTACCAGAGCAGGGAGCAGCAGCGGTCAAAATACCTCAGAAACTCAAACAAATAGGCTTTAACAAGGCTTTAATAAGCTAGATGTACATGAGAAAACGTGTTCATAACGAACGAAAATGTATAAATAATTAAATTGTGTCCATGCCGGTCTCAAACCCTGGTCTCCCACTCTCTGGTCCAACTCTCTACCCATTGCCCTATTGAAGGCTTGTTGTGAAATGAGCTGGGCATTGCACAACAACAACCATGACGGCTTTTTATACTGAGGAGGAGGAGCTTCACCCGGGGATTGCTAGGTGAGGGGCTGAACACAGGTTCCGGTGGGTTGTCGTACGGCTTGTGACATCACAAAATGACGGAAGTATAAAACTTGTCGTTAATATACATTAAAAATACATTTACTTACAGTAAATATGCCCCTGGGTGCATTTTTTGGTCCTAGGACTGTTTTTTAAGAAGTACATACCCAAAGTTGAGTAAAAAAAAACTTTAAAAAGTGAACTTTGCATAATAGTTCCCCTTTAAATATATTTCTACAACTGATTAACCTTTGGGGCTAACTCAGTTAAAGATGGCTGCTAATTTTTTGGGGGAAAACATGCGAAACTCCTTCAGTTGTTCAGCGCTTACTCGTGTCTCTGTTTCAGGTTACAAGATTTAACCATTTACAACCCTGAGAGGACCATCACAGTGAAGGGAAGCCTGGAGGCCTGCTGCAAAGCCGAGGTGGAGATCATGAAGAAGCTGAGGGAGGCGTACGAGAACGACATCGCTGCTATCAATGTGAGCGCACCTTCTCGTGCTTTATGACCGTGCGGTGACTCGAACGGGCTGACAGGTGAACGATGATGACATCGTCTTCCCCCTCCAGTGTGTGTTACCGCCCGGCATTAGCACGACCGGTAAAGAGATAACAGTAAACGATCGCTGAACAGCTCATTAGCGAGCAGTGTGTTTGAGCGCAGCGTGTCTCAGGGCTCGTGTGCGTGCGAAGCCTCTGACTCACTTCCCCTCCCCGCTGCGTGTGTCTGTGTTCCTGTTGTCACACACTGCGTTTCCCAGCATCCATCTGATATCTGTAGGCTGCTCTTTCACCCAGCTCCTCTTTCACGYGACACCTCATCAGCTGGGTCGCTGCCGCCGCCGAGGTCGACCTCAGATGAAGAGAAGCTGGAGGAAAGTTTTGCACGCTTATTGTTGCAATGAAGACATGTAAAAAAGGAACTCAGATAAAGTGATTATTATTAGTGGGGATGCCTGTCAAACGTAACAGCTGTGACCCCTAGAGAGACACAGAATGTCAGCTTTCTTATTGATGTATTGGGTTCAATAGTTTCCTCCTCATTGTGATTATTTGCTCAAAAACAATTACCAGGAAGTATCACTCAGCGTGGGGTTAAATCGCTCTGACTCATGAGTGTTCTCAGCACCTGTCGGGCTGAGCGCCGCCGCCACGGTGAGCCGACGGGGCCATCTTGTGTGACACTGAGGATATTACACAAAACTGCCAGTGATCAGGACTGTCTGAGGTTACAGCAGGTTGTCCTGTGGTAAAGTTAYGTAACTTTGAAGGCAGGATATGTTTTTTTCTTTAGGATAATAACAAATAAATGTCATTCAAAAACCACAAATTTTACATCTCGTTAAAAAACATTTTTTTAGGACAAAACCCGCAAAATTTAGTTTATTATTTTTACTTGATTTGTTCATCGTTATTACCCACCACCAAAAGCGAGGACATTTGTTTGTACTGTTAGTAAAATATCTCATGAATCAATAAAGAGGTTTTAATGATACTTTCACTCTACCCAGTTCTAACTGTCATTAGAAATWACAAAAATTGCAAAAATTCAAGACACTGATATTAAGGTATAATTTTGTGTGGTAGAAGCTGAGCGTCACCACCAACACATAAAAATTAATAACATTTTGTGCAATATCTTTGTTCAAAATATCAGCTTTAGCTGATGTAGTCAACCCCGTTTGTTGGCAAAATATCTTGTGAACCAAAAAACGTATTTCAATTAAACTCTGAGAAAGTAATTATCTGGCAAACATCTACAACTGATTAACTTTTGAAGTCAACCCAATTCAAGATGGCTGCCACAGCTAGTTGACCATAGCCAGCACATTTATGGCTATATACAGATATTTACCTGATGTTTTGCATGGAAGTAGCTCACAGTCATTCACAACTCACACTGACCTCTAGCAGATACACTGTTACATGAAAGTGCACATAATGGTGTTTTAAGGTTTGACCAAAATGCCTAAATTTTCTAAAATAAGATGGTTTTAATTTAAAGGGGGGGGGGGTATGTACAGGCACATAGGTTGGTTCTATACCACAATCAAACAATCAATAACCATGATAAGTTCAGTTGTTATCAAAACACTGTATTGACTTTGCCTTTAAATTGGCCTCCGTCTCTTTAAGAACCTCCTACCGTTTCCGACACTCCCACTTCAGCACATCTTCACAACAATGCTTTCAGGGAGGAACTTTGCACAAATAGGCGGTGCTTTGTACCAGCAGGTTTTTAGGCAGCTCCACAYGGCTACAGGAGATTAAAGTATTTCTCAAACATGCATGAATGAGTCAAAGCAACACTCTGTGTGTGTTTTTGTTGAGGGAATGACATTATGACATGATATAAAGCTTTGGCATGATATTGTTTTTAATAATGAAATTTCTCTCAGCATTTTATCAACAGAACAAAAGGATTCAATCACAATATTAGATTTAAACATGATCGTTGTTTCTTCTCTCCTTCATTTTGGCTCACTATTTCTTTTGTCGTTTGTTGCAAATCAAGGTAGTTGAGTTCTTTGTGTTTTATATGCATCCATCTTAAAATGTGATTTGCCTGTAATCACAAAACCATGGCCTAAATTGATTGAGGCTAATTAAGAAGGGATGACTGATTTCCTGAAATGTAAATTAGTTCATTTAAAATGGATTTCTCCTCAACAGCTGTGTAAACAATCACATAAAACAGACATTAAAGAGCGAGGCAAACAATGTTTGTTTCTGTGTCTTTATGCTTAAATTCAGGCTTCATAATTGTCTCCARTAAAATCCAAAACTGGATTTTGAATGATGCAGCATTTTTTGTGAACAAATATAAAATAAATGTAGTCTTTCCTTTTTGTTTCTAAACTGTGGAAATTCAGTGCCCCCTTACAGCAAGATGTTCTTAGTTAATGTCTGAGCCCATTAAAAAATAACTTAGTTTAATCCTAGTTGATCAGCTTTATTGTGACTTGTACTGTAACCAAATTAATCTTTGTTTCTTGTTTCTTCTCAGCAACAGGCCAACTTGATCCCAGGTTTGGGCATCTTCTCCTCTGGTCTGCAGGTGCTACCCACTGCTGCTGGACCACGTGRTGCAGTGCCCCCTGTGGTACCAGCAGGATACAACCCTTTCTTAGTGAGTCCCCCACCCTTTTTTTCCCACCATAAAAGGTTTTCTGAGGGAAATGTTAATTTAAAAAAAAGGAATAGATGTTACAGAGTTGACTCAAGTCTTCCTGCACAATGTTTGAAACGAGCAGACCTCCTCCGTCTTCTCCGGAGATGAGTCAGTTTGTAAAACAAAGTCTCTGCTCGCTCGTCCAATGAGGTCAGGGCTGAGTGGTGTGAGACATTGTGTGCGAATGTGTGATTCACTGCGAGTGTTGACCCAGAAATCCCCCTCAAGCAGGAGACGGAGATGTTGAATGTGTGTGTTTAACTTATTTTTATTATTATTTTTGGTTGTAAGTGTGTTGAGTTTTCAAAGCAGGTGCAACCTGATTGGCTTATTTGTCACTTTTAGGGTCACTCTTCACATCTCGGCGGCCTGTACGGGGTCCCTTCAGCAAGTGCCATGTCCCACCAGCACTCAGTACGTTCAGATTTCATCATTATCTTTTTACCAAATGAATTTAAATGAAACCTGCAAAAAATAATCATTTAAAGGCACAGTGTGTAGGATTTTGTAAATTCTTTTAGCCGAAATTGAGACAATCACTAATGACAATAATAAAAAACATGTTAATCATTGCAGACAAAGACCTTGTTTTATTATTTTTACCTTATAAAAAGCTGTTTATATCTCCATGGTCGCGGGTCGCCACTACAGGCAGCCGCCATCTTGTCTACAAAAGCTCATGCGGTGGCGGCGTCAAAAACGGTTTTAGTTGTAATACTATAAATGTAATATTTGTTGTCTGTCATTGTAGCTGGGATAATTTTACTTATTAAAGCTCATAATCTTACCACTTGAAACATCACTAGCCCTGAAGCTGCTGGTAGACATCGCGGTTGGAATTATTAAAGGTTTTTGACACCTGAGAGACACCGTAGCAACTCCTTTGCGTTTGGAAGCGGGGGGTGGGGGTGGGGGGAGGACCAGGGAGGATGATTCAACCACTAGATGTCGCTGAAAACAACAAATCCTACACACTGTGCCTTTATATTACCTGCAGACAAAGATGGCTCTAATTCTGTCAGTTTTACAGATTATGAGCTACAGTTGTGGTTGGAGCTGAAAGTACTTCACAACACATATCTTATAATATTGCATAATAATATGTTTGATTATTTCCAAGGATTTACCAAAAACGGCCGTAGTTCAACTACAACAAAAGATGATCTTAGTTAAAACTCTGGTATTGAAGTTATATGAAAGGCTTTTAAGCAGAAAAAAAGTCTAATAATGTCATTAATCATGTTACARTTTAAATAAATGGAGACTAAGTGCATGTAAAATGTAAATAAAAAGTGATTACAGCTTCTCAGGCAGCCTTGTCATCACCTAGTCATCAAAACACCACAAATATGTCTGGCAGAGGACTTTACGGCCCCAAGTTATCCAGTGGCTCGCAAAAAACTCACTTAATAAACCTCAGTTACAAGAGTGTTACATAGGAAAACAAAAACACACAGCGACACGACACCCCTAAAAGGAAATATTCCATTCAGACACAACCAGAAAATGATGTTTACTCAAAATGTTGCAGTTTTTTTTCACATGTCTGACGAGTTACATCAAAGCTTTGTCTTGTTTCTGAGATTTCTTCTTCTTCTTTTTTTTCTCCCCACTTTCAGCAACAGGCTCCAGAACAGGAGGTTGTCTACCTCTTTATTCCAACTCAGGCAGTCGGGGCCCTGATAGGCAAGAAGGGTCAGCACATCAAACAACTCGCCCACTTCGCCGGTGCTTCCATCAAGGTGCGTTTGTTCATGCCGATGATGCTTCGAGACGTTACTCTGTCAGGTTGAGTCCACAAGTAAGCGTTAAACGTGTCGAGACGTTTTTTAAAAAAGCGTCACAGCTGTTTTTAAACAGATGTTAAGTTGGAAATAATTGCTGGCTGAGTCGGTGGCACTTCACTGACCGCAGCTGAGGCAGCTTTCTTGATTAAAAAGAGGGAAAAGAAAACGACTCGGGAGATGAGTATTTCATATCATAAAACTAGAAGTAATTTACTTGTTGGACTTTTTCAATTACTGTGGAACATAGTAAACATATCAAATGTTTTAACTAAGAAACTGTCCCTTAAAAACTAATTGTTATTTTATGGCATAAAAATGCTGACAGCACTAAAGGCCTCTCTGCAYGCTCCATCCAAACTGCTGAAATCATTTCTTATTGTCACAGTTTCGTGATGAAAATCGTGACATTCGGTTYGCAGCTTAGAATCTGCTGCCCCTTCTTGACACGACCCGGTGGGAGAACTTTATAGCCCCCCGTCCACGTAAGAGCTTACTGTGTGATTGGTCAGAAGTTTGAGTGCAGTGTGACGTATCCCAGGGGCTCCGCTTGGTTTGTCTCAGGAGCTACGAAAAGTGTGTGAAAACAAACTCCGAACAACCGTGTGACCGCGCCTCGACTGTTCTGCTTCGGGTGGAGTATATGGAGACCTTAATGCACCCCCATACCATTAGAGAGGCAGATTTTTGAGCTGTGTGCTCATAACAGGCTGCATGGTCCCTCTCCTTTTTTATTATGGTTGATGTAAATAAAAGATTTTAAATTGCACAATACTTCTCTAGCTGTTACTTTTGCAGTCTTTTGTTTTCCCTCTTCCAGCGGTTTATTTATTTAATTTTGAGATATGTTGCTGCCACGCAAATCATAATGATCTATTACMCCACAAAAAGCCAGAGTTATAAAGTAACTAAGTACAAATACTTTGTTACTGTACTTCAGTAGAAATGTTGGTTATCTGTACTTTACTTGAGTAATTATTTTTCAGCATGCTTTATTACTTTTACTCATTACATTTTTACACAATTATCTGTACTTTCTACTCACTACATTTTTAAAAAGGTAAGAAGTAGAAAATCATTACTCCTGTTTTATTCCAAGTTGTTATTACTTAAAAAATACTGTCCTGATTAATTGTGTCTCCTGGATAGAGTGAATTTAATTGTGGTTGGATGAGAAGTATAAATATATACCATTCTGACACTCTGGGTGTATTCAGACCAGGAAAGTCCTTTGGTCCAATTGTTTGGTCCGGACCAAAAATGGCCTTTTTTTTCGTTTGGTGCGGTTTGCTTTGACATTGTGCTTTTTT